GATTGATAGGTACGATATAAATCGATCGATATGACTATCAGAAAGATTTGCGGTATCGGTGCCGGATATGTAGGTGGACCGACGTGTAGCGTGATAGCCTTGAAGTGCCCAGAGATTCAGGTGACTGTAGTGGACAAGAGTAAAGAAAGAATTGCACAATGGAACTCAGAAAAGCTTCCGATCTATGAACCAGGTCTCGATGAGGTTGTGCGTAAATGTCGCGGCAAAAATTTATTCTTTTCTACGGACATCGAGACCGCGATCCAGGAGGCTGATTTAATTTTTATCTCGGTCAACACGCCGACAAAAACATTTGGCAATGGGAAAGGAAGGGCAGCCGATTTGAAGTACGTCGAGAACGCAGCCAGAATGATCGCGGAAATTGCGACCGGGGACAAAATCGTTGTGGAGAAGAGCACAGTTCCAGTCAGAGCAGCGGAGAGTATCATGAATATTTTGCGTGCCAACCATAAACCAGGAGTATCGTATCAGGTAACATTTCTGTTACGGAAATTTACGACTGCATCAACCATGTCGGCGAAATCTTGATCGAATGTTTTTACTGCGTAATAGACAATTTTATGTAAGGAAAGCTGATGGGTGAAGTAAAAAATGGTTTAATTTCGCGTTCTAGACTCTTTTACTTAATGAGACTAATATTAATGAAATTTTACAAGTCCTAAGTAAATTGGGGATCTTGATGCAAATTTATATCTTTAAGCATTTAAAAAGATGGAATCTAAATAGAGATTTCTTTCGTCCTTCAAATATTATAATGAATACTTTATTTCAAATATTTTATATATTTTCTTATATAAACATCTGCATGAGTTGCAAATTATTAATACATTCCCTTGTATAACCCTAACAATTTCGGTGATAAATCAAACGAGATTTTATCAATTCCATAAATTACAAATAGTCTTATTGTCCTATATCTTAAGATCGTGAAATTACAAAAGAGAAATTCATAACCTACGACTTGCAAATTCAGCAGAATATTGTTAGTTGGTTAATTATCGTGCAAGGCAGTTGTAAAACGCTAATTACTTTGGTCGAAGTATAAATCCTTTTTTTGGAACTTCTATGTTTCCCTTTCGTTGCTCTCTCTCTAGATTTTAAAGTCGTGTAGAATCTAGAGAGTAATGGGTCGAATGCCACGTGGCTGGCTTCCTGTACTCCTTTGTGTAAAAGTACTCAGAAGCCAAGATTGAACAGATAGATATGTAGTTTATTGGATTGAGAATCGAAGTAAAACAAGGGCAAAGGAAGTTTAGAACAGTCGCTTGTTGCTTGTAATAGAGTATTTTACTGTATCCTTTGAAGCTATTTTTAGGCTCGCCGCTCGCCAGATACAACTTTTAGTGCATGTGGATTAATCTCTTTTCCTTTCTGTTTATGGGCTATGCTAATGCAATTTAAATATCTTTTAAAATACTTAAAATATACTTGCTAGTTTAAAATTTCAGAAACATAATAAGAGATAAATTTCGAAATTGAGTCACGATTAAAAGCAAATATTATTGCAAACGAGAAAGTCAAATAACTGATTCTTTAATTATTCCGAATAATGTATCTTCCAAATGTAGAACCTCGATATGTCTCTATCGATAATTATCAGCTGTGTACAACCTTATATAAATATTTAATTCCACAGCTGTTCAATCTATCATTTCAACAATATTTTGAAATAATCGTTCGATGATATGCAACGAATAATATTCCTGATTCTTGCTTACGTCTATGATCAATATACATATTAACTGCCGGGCTTTGGAATTACCTGATTTAATACTTGATGAGTTCGAATCTGCTCAAGTGTACAAGAATTTCTATTCGAACTGCTTTTCATTCGCCACGTATCGTTCATGACCTTTTTTCTTTCTCAGCTAATCAGCCTTTCTATTATTTGTCACGTGTTCTTAGTTTCATCGCAATCGTGCAAGACGAGAGTAACAGGAAAGACGTAATCTCTTCTTCAGATCTTATCAAACCCGGAGTTCTTGGCGGAGGGGACCGCAATTGAGGATTTAGTGAATGCAGATCGCGTTTTGATCGGAGGTGAGGACTCACCGGAAGGGCAGGCGGCCATCGAGGAATTATGCAAAGTTTACGAGCATTGGATTCCAAGGAAGAATATTTTAACTACAAATACTTGGAGTTCGGAGTTATCTAAGCTGGTAAAAGCAGGAAATAAAACATTGGTTTATTGGCGAAACGATATCGTTGCTGTTTGCGAAATGCTAATTAACGAAATTAATTAATTTCAACGCAATGTATACATTGATAATATTAAAGACGGAAAGGCAATATTATTTATCAAATAAATGACAACGCTGCGTCGTCATGTTTTACATTTGAAATATCATGTTGCTACGGCACGTAGTCGAGCTTATACGTAAAATCATTATGTAATTATTTGAATTAATTGTGATTTTAGGCCGCCAATGCCTTTTTGGCGCAACGCATATCAAGCATAAATTCCTTATCGGCGGTATGTGAAGCGACTGGCGCGGACGTGTCTGAGGTGGCACGGGCTGTTGGCCTTGACTCTCGAATAGGATCGAAGTTCCTTCACGCATCGGTCGGATTTGGTGGTTCGTGCTTTCAAAAGGATATTCTTAATTTGGTGTATATCTGCGAATGTCTAAACTTACCGGAGGTGGCGGCCTATTGGCAACAAGTCATAGACATGAATGAATACCAGAAATCTAGGTTCTCCGCGAAAGTAATCGAGTCTCTATTCAATACCGTCACGGACAAAAGTATTTCTATGCTAGGCTTTGCCTTCAAGAAAAATACTGGTGACACGCGTGAGTCACCGGCCATTCACGTTGCTAAGACCCTACTCGATGAGGGTGCTATGCTTCATATATATGATCCCAAGGTAATTCTCATCGATGAGAATGTAATCTGTAATATGTACATTTGATTAATTACTAAGCGTTTTGTATCTTTTTTCTCTTATAAAGGTCGAGGAGAGTCAAATTATCGAGGATTTGACACATCCGAGTGTAACTAATGATCCAGAATACGTAAAAAGCAGGATCAGTATTTACAAAGACGCTTATAGTGTTACGAAAGATACACACGCTATAGTACTTTGTACCGAATGGGATGAGTTTGTAGTAAGTAACAATTGTAATTATTTTAAAAAATAGCTTTACGATTATTTTATGATTTATTATTTGTTTTAGGAACTGGATTACAAACGAATTTATATTAACATGATGAAACCTGCATATATTTTCGATGGAAGAAAAATTTTGGATCACGATAGGTTACAAAAGATAGGTTTTATCGTACAGACTATTGGCAAAAGGATTACGAGGACCGTACTTTCAAGGGCATGGGGAAGTCAACCTCAAATATAAATAAATATACGCAGGTTGTCATATGAGACCGAATTCATTTGATTTCATAAATATTTTAATTATCACGCGAATGGGTTTAGAATCTTGTAAATTCCGAAATGTGCTAGATTTTATACTCTCCACGGAATAATCTTGACATAGAAAGTAGTATTTGCTTTCACTTAAAGTATTTTCCTTTTTTTACAGATTCTGTGAAATAGTAAATTAGCTTATAATTTTTTCAAATTTACAAAAAATGTAGATTCACAAAATTTTGAAAGATCGAGCATTTTTGATGGAGCTTAGATTTAAGATTATAAATGTTGGAAACAAATGCGCCTTTTTGAGAACAAGTATGTACCTAATATATATCACTTATTGTAACTGTTTGTAGTAATGAACAACGTCAGTTGTATCAAACATTTATATATACTTTTTACATAATTTGATATGTAGATATCTGCAATTATTATAATTATGATGGTAAATATTGTAGCTTTATTCTTTTTACAAGTGGGCATTTACACGGTCTATAGCGAAAAATCCTATTTTAAAAGAAACAAACAAAGAATATTCCTTTACTTTTTGTGCAATATATGTTACGCATATAAAACAAATACTGCGCGAGCGAGCACGGATGTATGAAGTTTTTGATACTAATTACATTACTTATTGCGATACACTATGACATTATAGGATACAGTACAATACTTACCAATATTTTAACTTAAAAAGATGTATTAGTATTTTCCATTATGTGGAGAATTATTGTAATTCTATTTTTTCATACTTCCATATTCATTTATTGCATTTTTGGAAAACTTTTCCTATAGTTTTCCATTTAATTTTAAATATTAAGCTCTTATTAGATATTTCTACAAGTGTAAATAATTCGTTCTTAATGGTACTACTACTTTTAATGTTGCAATGAAATTGTTATGAAAGTTGTTTTCTGCTTTATTGTAGAGAAAATATTAGTTTCAAAATACTACATTCTTTTGTGGTAGTAACGTTAGGAAGGAATGAAAAAAGTAAGCAATAATATCAATGTTATATTTGGTATATTATATTATATGTCAAATATATTTGATATATGTTTGATATCAAAATGTTTTGTATAACGTATAATATGTAATACCATTTATAAAAAACAGTCTTAGAAGATTAGCAAGTTAAAATATTCATGATAATTTTGCAAGAACTATTTCCATTGTATATAATTACAGGGAAGTGGTATAAACAAATAATTTAATATTGATTTATTCCAAGCAACATAATTTACTTTTGTGGTTATATACACGAGATTTATAAATAAATGTTAACAGAAAGTTTTCTAATTCAGTGTCCTTATTGATTGTTTACGTTAATACATTAATACACTTAGTATATACATACATATATATTCCATTAACATTCCTTAAGCGAAATATTGTATACTATTTTCAAACAAATATTTCAGCATTCTGCTCCCTGAAACGAAGGACAATTAAAAGAAAACTTTAATTTGCAAAAAATAAGAAAAAATTTTTCTTTAATACAAAAATTATTACTAGTATCATCATTATATATATACACATGTTCAATTTTTATGTTAGAAATATATAGGTTTCAAAGTGTTATTGCTATATAAAATTATTGAGTATAAATATAATAACTTGAATATCGTTGAAGGAATTATATCATTAAACTTGTCAATTTTTTGCAAATTGATAATTTATCATGAAATTAATTCCGTAATCGATATACGAAATTCCGAATGAAGTGATATGAGTAATTAACAAAAATCCTTGAAATTCGCGGTGATGTCGATGTTGATATTTACGGCCCTGATTTGGAAGAGCGATGGCGCCGCTGAACGAACTACTGGTTGCAGAAGCAGAGGCAGCAGCAGTAGCGGCAGCAGTAAGCAGTAGCAACAGCACGAGTCGTTGTGTGTCTCAGTCTCGCCGTGAAAATTCGTAAGTGGTCCGCGTGACAGTTGTCTGGAGGTTACGTTTACAAGCCGGACGATGATGTCAAAGAGTTGGTGTCGCGTGATTCGCGCGAGATCGAACCATTCATCGAATTGTCAGTGAATCATTACGTTCGTTGTTGGTTTTTTCTTTGTCGGTGCAAGTTCTCTCTCTCTGTTGGCCAACAGGGATAATAGGCCGGGCCTATCAGTACAGTAGGAAAATGGCGGCTTGCCTTGCGCGATGTAGACGATGAGAGGCAACGAGGTTCTTGGCGTGAAGCGCTTGAACATATTACGAAAAAAAAGTAACCTTTCGTTTTATTGTCGATTGTTCGCAGTGTAAAGTGTGTGGAGTTGGTGTTCGATCATCGGCGCGGTGAACGAAAAACACAAGAGAGAGAGAGAGTGGGAGAGGTTAAGAAAAAAAAAGGAGGGACCTTGTTAGCGCGAACACCACGAGTTACGAGATGAGAGTGAGACGTGAGGAAGAACGAAGGAAAAATAACACAAGAGTCGAGTAACGAAGAACCACTGTGCATTCAGTTTGTGTACGCGTGTGTGCTCGTATGAGAGCGAGAGGCGATCAACGGTGACAAGTGTTCCGTCGACGGGGAACTTGG